GAGTGAAGAGAGCAGCCCTAGAAGCGTCCATCGCTCTGCCGAGGGGCTCCCACACCATCCAAAGGTGCGTTGGAAGACTACCAAAATGGGGGGTGGAGGGGGTCCTCAGGCCACTGGCCTTCCTTCCCTTTGGGCGATGGGGATGTTGGTCAAGGTGCAATTGTGTCGTTCTGGAAGACGTGGGGGGAAAGTGAGGGTCCCGTCCCTTCAGGCTTCACAGCCGTGTCTCGCTTGGGTCCCTCGGAGGGGGAAGAGGAAGGCGACCCTCCCTCAAACGATCTTGACCAGGCGGCCCAACGTCTCGGCCGCTTTCATGCGCACGGCGGCCACAGGGTCCTTCAGCAGAACGGTCAGCGCTGGGGAAAAGAGGAGTAAAAGGAGAGTGAATGGGCTGCCTCAGGGTTTGGGTGTCAGAAGCTGAACATGTGCCCACAGTGTGATGCAGCAGCTACAAAGGCCAAGGCAGTTATAGGCTGCATCAAGGGGAGGATAGTGTCCAGATTGAGAGTCAGAAGCTGAACATGAGCCCAGAGTGTGATGCAGCAGCTACAAAGGCCAAGGCAGTTATAGGCTGCATCAAGAGGAGGATAATGTCCAGATTGAGAGTCAGAAGCTGAACATGAGCCCACAGTGATGCAGCAGCTACAAAGGCCAAGGCAGTTACAGGCTGCATCAAAGGGAGGATAGTGTCCAGATTGAGAATCAGAAGCTGAACATGAGCCCACAATGTGATGCAGCAGCTACAAAGGCCAAGGCAGTTGCAGGCTGCGTCAAGGGGAGGATAGTGTCCAGATTGAGAGTCAGAAGCTGAACATGAGCCCACAGTGTGATGCAACAGCTTCAAAGGCCAAGGCACTTACAGGCTGCATAAAGAGGGGGATAGTGTCCAGATTGAGAGTAAGAAGCTGAACGTGAGCCCACAGTGTGATGCAGCAGCTACAAAGGCCGAGGCAGTTATAGGCTGCATCAAGAGGAGGATAGTCTCCAGATTGAGAGTCAGAAGCTGAACATGAGCCCACAGTGATGCAGCAGCTACAAAGGCCAAGGCAGTTATAGGCTGTATCAAGGGGAGGATAGTGTCCAGATCCATGGAAGGCACAGTCCCACCATATTCTTCTTGGGTCAGACCTCACCTCAACCGGTTCAAGCAATTTTGGAGATGGACAAGTTGGGAGGTGACTACAGAAGGGCCACCAAAATAGCCAAAGGTCTGGAGGCCATGAATCCCTTTGAGTTTGGAGGGGGTCCCATCGAGGAGAAAGGGGCAAGCTTGGGTTTTGATGCTCCAGAGACTGGGACACAATGGAGCAAAATGGATCCAAATGGCAGAAAGAGAGATTCCATCTAAACTTTAAGAACTTCCTGATGGACAGAGGTGTTTGCATCTGGTGGAGTGTCCTTCTCCGGACGTTTTTAAGCAGAGGCTGGATGGCCATTGTATGTTTTCTAACTGCGAGGTTGTCAGAAACTGGGGCTAACAACAGGAGCTCACACCACTCCCCGGATTCGAACCACCGACCTTTTGGTCAACAAGTTCAGCAGCTCAGGGGTTTAACACACTGCCCACCAGTGGACTCAACATAACTAGACCAAAAAGGCCTGAAGAGGGGTCTTCCGAGGGAGCCCTTGTGGGTCCCTCTCCCATTTGATTTAGATTTTACTAAACCAGGCATGGGCCAAACAAAGACAAAGCCAGCAGACCTGATGGGATCCCTCCTGCCATTCAGTACTATCCAAACAGTTCTCTTGACATCCAGCCTAAAAGGGCCCTTCTGCACCAGGCCTGGGTCTCCAGGTGTTTTGGACTTCAACTCCCACCATTCCGAACAGCCTCAGGCCCCTTCTTTTTCATCTGTTGGGAGGGCTTGGATAGTATGGCAAAAGGGGGCTTGACAAGGTGGCATTGGGGTCTCTTCCAGCTCCGTGATGCCATGCCTCCTCTTTCTGCTGCCTAACCCAAAAGGCCTGAAGAGGAGTCCTCTGAGGGAGCCCTTGTGTGGGTCCCTCTCCCATTTGATTTAATTTCACTAAACCAGGCATGGGCCAAACAAAGACAAAGCCAGCGGACCTGATGGGATCCCTTCTGCCATTCAGTACTATCCCAACAACGCTTTCTCTGCTCCCTAACCTACAAGGCCTGAAGAGGGGTCCTTCAAAGGGAGCCTTGTGTGGCTCCCTCCCCCATTTGGGGGACACAACCCCATCTGACGCAGTCCGGGCCCCAAATTGTGGGTCAGTGGTCAGCCGAGGGCCAGAGAAGCCGGCTATTGAAGCCCAACCAGCTGGAGGGAAGAAAGGAAGGGAGGAAGGCGGGGAGTGAAGGGCTTCTTCCTCTTGAACAGCAGAGATACAATAATATTTTTCCAGTAGCCTGTTTACACTGCAAATCCGAGACTCTCCATCCCTGCGGAGCGGAGAAGCCAAGGCCTGATTTATGTGCCGACGAGGCCAAGCTTGCTTTCTGCAGATCAGCCCTGGGCCAGATGCCTGGGACTGGGGAGGGGGG